GATTGGTCTGTTGAGAACTGGTTTCAAGTGTTGTGTGAGCCTTTGTGAATGACTCTGACCCTGTGACGGTATGAAGCTGTCAAGTTGTGAATAGCGAAAGACAGTAAGCTGTGTTTAGTACTGTTTACTACTAATGTTTTTTTTTTTTTTTTTTTTTTTTTCGGTCCGGACTTTTTTTCGTGTCTGGTGCACCGGTCCGGACGGTCCGGGTCCGGTCCTGTCCGGTTGCCCAGTGCCTGTCCGGATTACCGGACGTCTGGACCAGTCCAGACAAATGTCTGGGCCTCCGTCCAGACATGTCCGGGTCCGGGTCCGGGTCCGCGGTTGCCGTGCTTATTATGGATTTCTATTTATTCTAAGTATAGCTCGTTGTCTGAGCACACCAACCATTGTTCTGAACTATTTGGGTCGCTACTCTCTTTCTACGGGCGTGTCGCCAAGAGTTCACTGGGAGGCTATTGCTATTGCATGCAATCAGCCATTGCAGGCTTCTGATTTTTTAACTGGGCGTATTGATTTATATTTCCGCCAAGGTATCTTGGAGATTGGTTCCATTCCTTGTCCTAGCAATTTGGTCCATCTTTCTTTGATTACTGGCTCCAGGTCCTTCGTTTTTTTTTGTTTTTTTTTTCCCTTTAAAAAAAAAAAAAATGGACCATTTCTCGATTTATGCGTGTCATCCTTGAAAGCGCAGGGGCCATGCTAATCTTCTCTGTATCGTTCCAATTTTAACGGATGTCCCGAAGGACGGTCCTTTGTTTTCAGTAGCAACCTATATTAAGGCTATACCCCATATTGACTGTGTACTGAGTTATGTGCCTTAGGGTCTTGCAGATTCTGTTATTGTCTGAGGTCCAAGCCCATTCATCTGGGTCGAATTCTGGATCTTGAATTGCTGTGTCTCCTTGGAAAATAGTCTTCTGCCAGATGCCCAGTACCCTTATTTTTCGAAGCGTATACGAGTTCAGGTTCAGGTTCTCTTCTTGTGGATCACTATTACGGATGGACAGGGTTTGGGGTTGGTCCAGTCTGTTGGGAAGGAGGTGTGCTGCGGCAGGTGCTGCTGGTGCTGCAGTTGCTGCATTAGCTATAGGAGGCGCAGTAGGTGCAGCCATTGTACCTGCTGCGGAGGAGGAGGAGGAGGAGGAGGAGGGGGAAAAGAAAAAGGGGCTGTACCAGTTGAAGCTGCTGCCCCTGCTGAGGCTGATGCTGATTCTGCAGCTGCTGCAACTGATGCAGCTACTGCAACAGTTGCAGCTGATGGAGCCCGTGTGCCGGCAGGTGCTGCAGCAGTTGCAGCAGCCACAGTAGTCACAGCCGCCGCAGAAGTCGTCAGTTATGGAGAGGAAAGAACAAAGGGGGAAAAAAAAAAAATCAAATCATAAAAAAAAAGGGACAAAAAAAAAAACAAATCGTAAAAAAAAAAAAAGGACAAAGAAAATCAAATCGTCGAAAAGATGGCATTGTCAAAAACATGCTCAACGTTGGGGCTGTCAAATGCAGGTTTTCCTATCCTGCAACTGGACACTCCCCCCCCCCCCCCCCCCCCCCCCCAATTTGGGGGGGGGGG